CCTTGCTTCGCCATCCCGTCTCTCTATTGGAGTAGACAGTAATTGTCTTTGGAACACGGAGGCAAAGCAGAACATATGTTTTATCCATAGGAACTTCAAGCCATAATTTGCTCTATTCTCTTAAGCCAACAACAAAATCGGGTTACAGTAAGGCACCATCCAGTAAAAGGAGTGGGTGAAATGCAAACTTCTACCAGTGTTGCTTTATGTGCACTTAGACCACTGCAGCTGATTTTATTCAGTGAATGACACTTGCAGCTCTCACTGTCAACTTAAGTGATCTGGTGACAATTAAATTGATTATTTCTTGCATGGGAATAGATCTGAACTTTCATATTTCTTTGCAAAAGCTGCATCCTTTGAAAATGAGAAACAGGTGTAGTGGTTTTGTTATATTAGTTATATGTCCAGGCCTGCATTCATGCATAGCCAAAGCTTTACTTCTGTACAGGGTGAAAAAACAAGTCATCCGTAAAAGTGTATAACACAGTCTCATGAATGGTCAGGAAATAAACTGAGCGCTCTGAGAGAACAGAGAAGCCAGATTCATAAATCAGTGATGAATGTGACAGGTTACATATACTAGGATGTATTATTGTTAATGTTAGAGAAAACTTTTAGTAGTGGAAAGCTTGATTTAGATGTAATATATTCTAATATTTCAGAGTTTTCCTGTCTGGAAAAAAGTCAGTCCTGTCTATGCATAGCAATTTATAGTTTTAGTAAGTTGTGGTTTGATTCTGTTATTTGCAGTTCTGCTTTATAATGTTCCAGTATGCTTTCATATAAAGCAAGTCCAATTACTGTAAAAATTTTTACTTTGTTAAGTTTTTGCCAAGAACTTAAGTAAATCTTCTAAAATACAAACACAACCAGAACAGCTAATCCAGGAGAAAAAAGTTAGCTTTATGAAACCAGAAGCTTCTGAGAAATTGTTTCCTGGCCTATCCCCTTATATTTTTCAGGGATTGTAGAATCTGGTAACTGTCAGTCGGAAAGCAAGGTACTTTTTTAAAAATCCCTCCTACTGGCGTAACTGAGGACTGCTGTATGAGGGATTATTACTCGGGTGCTGTTAAATGAATAGCTGCCTTGCACAAGACAAAGTTGTTTAAGGGAAGAGATTTTGAAGGCTGCGTTATCTTGTTTCTCTGTAAATCGGTGATTACTGGGGAATATAAAATGGCCTTCTATTCTGGATGTTTCTTCAATTCAAGTTGAGATACTTGGGTTGTGCTTCAAACTACTGGGTAGATGTTCTTACATAAGTACGTTTTGGGGTTTTGGACTCTTCTGCCTGCACATCTGGTAAGATGGTTAATTTGTAGGGCTTTGCTAGCTGGTTTTGACATCTAGCACTGTCTTACTGGGATCTCATGTTTCAGGAATGTGAGGTAGGAGCTAGTAATGGTATAAGTCTTTCCTTAAAGCTGTCTAGAACTAAGTGAATAGCCAACAAGGTCAATATTTGTAATCAGCTTGGAGGGGAGGGGGTGGGTGTTTTTTGGGGGGAGTTTTTTGAGATTGTTTAATTTCACAAGATACAATTTCTGATAAAAATGCACTTTTAGTATATCATGATTTTATTTTCTTAAAAGCAAATGAAAACCAGAAGTTTTTCTGTTTAAATACAGACGTCAGGGTTTTTTTTTCAGCACGATTGATGCCAGAGATGCAAACGGTGGTTACATCAAGAGAGTTACTTTGATAAAGCATTGAGGTTGTCATGTCTTTAACCACTGGTTACCTAAAAGGTAGCTGTATTGTCTCATCCAGTGATACCAGATCCATTTATAAACAAGGGGAAAGACAAGGGATCATTCAACTTGCTTCACTTTAGATCCCTGTCGTAGAATGGGATGTTTCTGTTTCCCTATTGACTGTAGACTTGGACAGTCAGAGTAGTCTAAATTTCTGGTTTCTAAAGGCCTGAGTTTTTGCTAGATGCAAAATGGGAGCAAACTAATATGTCTTAGTGACCTTCCAATAGAGAAAAACTAACATTAAATTCTCCCTTCCACCAACAATCTAAGCTTGCCCAGAAGTTTGAGGAGAAAAACTCAGACCCTCTGTTTGGATTTGCTTAAATCCAAACTGCAGGAAAGGAAAGAGGTGTTTGTTCTAAAATTGCTGGAGTTAGGGCTAAACAGCATAACTAACTAAATAAATACCTCCGACAGAAAGTGGCAGCCGTATGAATTAGATGGTCACAACCTTTGCTCAAGTATGTTTCCAATGGAGGGCCTAGTCTTATTGCTCATTAGTCCCTCAGCAGATTGTAATTATGAACAGATTATATGGGAAAAGACTGGAGCAAAGACAAAACATTGTTGACTTGTGGTCCTGAAATTAAGAGTAAAAATAGTGACCCAGAATGTTGCTCAAAGCTGGCTGTCCCAGCCTACCCCAGCGTATCTTGTTCTCTCTCTGACATGCCACAGTTTTCCATTTAGCTGTCACTTCTTCAGTTAACTATCTTAGCACACTCTGCTTGAGACTAACCTTAAAGTCTGTTCAGGAGCTTTAGGTAATACATGAAAAGTTTTCCCATTTTTCTAGCTGTGAATGCAACATTGAGTGAAGAGGTGGAATTCCAGCAGCCCTAAACAGCTTACGCCCTGGCTCTTTAACACATTTTTCCTTCTTTTACTTTGCGATAATTGAGTAGAGTTGACTTTAGACAGTGTTGAACAACAGCTGGAGTTGTTGCATGATGCTGTGTTTGTATGGCTCTAAGCCATATGGCTCTAAGTTTGGGGAGATGGCAGACGACTTGCCATACCTGACTGATGTACAGTTAGTAGTGATCTTAACGATACGAGAGATTTGAGAGTCCATGGTAATAAGCACAATGGATCTTCTCTTCCTGTCCAGACACTAATAGGCCTGCAAAATAAATTTCCTCTGATGGAAGGCCAGATGGCAGTGTCATAAATTACCCTATAAAAGTAAACCAAAGTGGGACTCCACATAAGGACACTTTCTGCACTGCTGTTGCCTTGTGGACGACACTCTTTGCTGTCTTTTTAGCTATAGAGCCTGGAAGGGTCTCAAATTATACATACACACAAGAGGATGGCCTTAGATGTGAAGATACTAGACTGACTGACCTGATTCATATTGCATTTCTGTATGACCACTAATCAGAAAAAGAATTGTATGCATATGTGAGTGAGTGGAAAAAACATTTTATCTTCATAAAACTGAAAAGACCAGAGAGGCTCACCTGGTTTTAATACATTGTTATTTAACCATACCTGTTTGAATTCGTCCATAATGAAATGCTTAGTATTAAAAACACAATATTTTTCATTTCTCCCTGTTGGTGTTTTCCACCTTTATCTTTTGGGTGGGTATGGAAAGCACTCTTGTGTTACATATTGATAAATCCTAAAAAGTACGTTCTTCTCTGTTTGATAGGATTTTTTGATAGCATGTCTCTAAACTATTTTGATTTATTTTATGTAATAAAAAGGGAAAGGATAAAAAGTTCTGTTCTGTTTACTTTTCTCCAATTCATACCGCTTCATGGAGATCACTTATTCTGTACAGTACATGAAGAACCGAAGGGTAGAAGTTACAGCTCTGCCCCAGGGAACTTGTAATCTAATTAAAGCATATGAAACTGCATTCTCAGATCTCAATGGAGCTGTTTCACCTTTTTTTGACTATATATTTGTGTGCAGTCAGCTGAGGACCTGAGTAACAAATTAGAAGGTGTCGTGGATTTGATAGCCAGTTACAGTTCTCCCAATAAACTACCTTCACCACTGTCAACAGACCTCTCTTCCTGTTGAGAAGTCTGTTTTGGGGTAACAGTAGGTCATACTCTCAGAAAGGACCCACATCCCGTGAGGTGACAGCAGAAGTAAATGCTTGCATTCCTTCCTTCAGGAGCCAGTACAGAACCAATGAAAATGTAATTGTCTGCACAGGCGACTTCCAGCAAGTTGAGATTATAAATAAGATTTTTACCGGAACAACACTGTTGAAAAATAGAGACTGATGGTAAAGGAGCTTATTTAGGATGCGCCTCAACTTCTTGGATTATTTGTGGGGCAGGGTATCTGGCATACAGTAGAGCTGGCGTGAGCCCCAGTCTACTGGTAGTTTGTGAATGGCTTTAGTCTAAGCCTTTAAGCCTACTTCTTTGTTCTGCATTTTTACTGATGCCTTGTGCAAAGGCATCCTAGAGCATGACTGCCTCCTAGACATGACAACAGTGAGGTGAATGACAATGCTGAAATGCATCACACTGTGCAAATAGTATTCAGGCATATCTATCTTAAATGCATAAACATTCATCTAATTAAAATCTTTATATACATACATACTGCTTATTGGAATTCATAGCGCTATGCTAGCCTTCATCAGTCTGCCAGAGTTTGAAACTGCAGCATCAAGTACTTAATGAACAGATCCATGAGTAATCTCTAGAAAGTGCTTAGAATTAAGGCCAAATCTGAGGAGCTTTGTACTTCTTGCGACATTTTTCCCCCTTCGGCTTTCATATTATGGAAGCCACATGAAATCAGCAAGGAGTCTTAAATTCATTCTTTGAAGGTATTATAAAACACTGCAGAGCAGTGCGCTTGCCTCTTTCTCAGAATGAGAATGTCTGGCATTTATTTGCTTAGAAAAATAAGTTGGATTTGGCATTTTTACTCTATGCAGTAAATCATCATTACTAGGCAAAGTGTTTAGTCTCTTAAGAGTACTACTCAAATCCTTGCTTCTCAATGGAAAACTTACGAGAAGCTCCACAAATCTGACAGAATAGAATCAGAACAGTAGATTCAGGGAGTATAAATCAAATAAAATCCTGTTGGTATGCAAATAACAATGTTATTGACTTACTCTCAGTAAGCATTACAATCCTGAAAATAGGACTTCTGGTAAAATGATACTTTGCATTTTTCCTTTTTTCCTCCTCATGTTCCCTCCTGACAGATACTGTTTGAAATTCTCCTAACGTACTGTCTTTATTTCATATTTTGCAGGATTATGACTTGAGCCAGCTCCAGCAGCCTGACACTGTGGAACCAGATGCCATCAAACCTGTTGGAATCAGACGGCTTGATGAAAGGCCAATCCATGCAGAACCTCAGTATCCAGTCAGATCAGCTGCTCCTCATCCTGGGGACATTGGTGACTTCATTAATGAGGTAAAGGAGAGAAAGAGTTTCCTCCTAAGATCTGATAAGCTTTTGTATTTATACATATACTGCATGAGTAGCTGTTATGTTTGAACGTAATAACTTTTTAAAACTTCCTTAGACAATTAAAATTGTCTTGCTAGATAGAAGTAAACATGTTCTTTTAAAGTGCAGACAAATTTAATTAATTTATTCCAAGAGAAAGGGAAGATGTATCAATTAACTTCTGTACGTTTGTATTAATTACATTCATAATACGTTATCAGCTGCAACCACAGTGTCTCCAAGCAGGATTATTCTGTGGGTTCCAAGTAATAAATAGACTAACAAAATTATAGTTTAGCCTAAATTCATTTATTAATTCACAGTAATTTAATAATGGAAGAAGTTCATTTTCATTTTCCTCATATGCTACCCTTTGAATCCAGATAATAGTGGAAATTCAGTACCTTCAATAAGACCAAAAGAATTCCATCAAATACGATTAGTGAGCAGGACAGCTAAATTAAACATTATGTAAGTGCTTTGAATACTTGTCTTGTCATAGAGCTTTAAAAGTATTTGCATTATCTTTGATACTTCAAATCTAATAAAGATAAATGTAAGTAAGATTCAGACTATACCAGATTACTCACAGTTCTGAAAGAAGTGCTTCTACAAATATTAGTTTCATTATTTCTATCACTGGTCAGTCTTAAATCACTGGTTTTGTGGTATTTAAGTTAGAATGTATTTCTTATGCTTGCTGGTTATAGGCAAACAAATACTAACGCAAAATTTACCACTTAAAAATAAGCTATATTCTGTAGATGAATAGTAGTAGTTAATCATTTTCTCTAATATTTTTATATTTTCCCTGGCAACTAGAGCTGGACAGGTATTGCAGACTATTGCAGAACTGTTTTTGCAAACATGTTTGTTCTTGTTTGCGTTAAGGAAAAGTCAGGCTAATATACTAAAGCCTTTTGTGTTAGCAAGCTGCAGAAAATTGAGTTTACTCCTTTAAGGTATACAGCGATACAATTGTGAAAAAACCTACAGGGAGATGACTGGCAGGAAACATACAAGTAGTCCAATAAGATATTGTATTTTAAGAGACTCCAGGTTTGGGAAAGAAATGTCTCAACAAAGAGGATTTTTGCATGCCTTGCACCTCTAAATATTACAATTGTAATCAGCTTCTGGAAAATAGTGGAGATGTGACAATAAAAGGCCCACATTGTTGGCAAAGGCAACGTGCACACAAGAACTTCCTTGTGCCTCCTCATCTTCTTCCAAACAGAGTTTCCCATCCTGTTTTCACACAGCTGTGACCAGACACTGCCCACCTGGCAGACGGTGGGGAAGAACCCACAATCCTCAATACCCTAGTTTTTCTTTTCCTCAAAGCAGCTATCAAACTGTCTTACAGAGCCAAGAAAAGGAATGAGTGTGATTCTCCTAGAAAGCCAGAATGGGACCAGAATTTGTCCAGCCTCCTACAATTTTTAAATTACTTAGCAGACTGTTCTTGCAATATTATTTTTCAGTAGGTTATCTCTCTTGAAGATCATAGCATCAATGTGTGCACATGGAGCTGCAGAAACAGTACATGCTGTCTTGATTTAACCCAGTATGTTTATATTGCAGTACAGATGAGCATGGAGTAATTTTCTTAGTGCTGTCTGTTGTATTAGATCAGTACCTCCCTTTAAGCTTCCCCTTGCCGTCCACCAAAAGAGAAAGCTTCTCCCAGGTATTCTTGCACAGTAAAATAATGTCAATAATGTCATTGACTCTGAAATAAGCCTTGAAAATCTATATGAAATTAAAGAAAACGTGGCAATTTTCTTGTCTGCAAGTTAGCTCAGAATTAATTATATCCTGTGACTGAAAGGAACTATATGAGGTAGTTTCTGTTTCAAGCATTGTATATTTAGCATCGTTTTTTCATAAGGTATTTCTTTCTTAGGATTTCACAGCAACGTATCCCTGTACTATGGGGCATTCCACCTAACCCTCTGTCTAGCAGACAGTAGCCACCCAAAGGTTGTCCATGCTCTCTCTGTCTTGCCAGAAGTCTTGAGCAAAATGGGCATTTTATTTCTCCAAAACAGTTTCATCTTTACTTGTGTATATGTTAAAATTTCCCATGGCCAATGTGATTCTAAAAAGTCTATTGGGAGGGGGGGAGGGAATCAGTCTTTCACAGTAGTACTCACAGTAAAATTTCCAAATTATCAGTGTCTAGAGCATAAACGTTCAGGCTGCACAGGTTTTCAGACTCTCTTCAGAGAATTCCACCTGCAGTCCTGGCAAGATTATACCCAAACAAATTGATAAGTTCCTCTCAGTTTTACTTGGAGTAAATAGAAGAAATATCTTGGGTAAAACCTGTACCAGACATTTCTTAGTGCAGTTCATACTGTACAGAAGATACGGTGATCTGTGAAAACAACATAGCAGGATAAGAAAGGGCAAAGTTCCTATCTCTCTGCATCCAACATTATTAGGCATAACTTCTCCCTTGGGTAACCCTAACCCAAACCGCCTGCAAAACTAGCCCAGTCGCTAGCTGATCAGGGAGAGGCTGTCTTTGAGTTGTCAGTAGCTTGGTAGCAAAGTCCACATTACCCCATTGGTTTGAAAAGATGCAGCACTTCTGGAGATCAGTCTGGTCTTTTGGAGGACTTGGCCCTATTCCCAGAGATGCTGATCAGCATGATCCTTTGGGATGCTGGCCCATGTGCGAGAATTAATTCAGTCTGTTGAATGCTCACCAGCACCTCAGAGACACAGCCAGCGTTGTTCAGATTAGCTCTGAATTACGCCAGCTTTTGACAAAAAAGAGCTATAGACCATTGATTTCAGATATTGGAGGATTTAGCTACTGTTGACAAGCAAGTGTGGGCTGTTTTTTTTCTTCTTACTTTTGTAACAGATCCCTAGAAACAAAATGAAAAAGACCTAGTTGGTCATTTTCTTTCTTTCCTTTTAGCAGTACTCTGTTTCTTCTGGTATATTATTTTCTAGCTGTCATCTGTTGTATTAAATCTGCTTAACTCAATGAGACGTAAGTATGAGTATTTTGTAGTGTTGTAGTGACTTCTCAGTTGAAAAACAAGTTGCAAGTATGATAAAAACTTCAAGTATTTTTATAACACTTACAAAGTTAAGATAATATATACAGAGCTATGAACTTTCTAAAACAAGAAGGTTCCAGAGGTGCCTTATAATCAAAATATGTTTTGCAGGCATAAACTAAATGACCTCAGGGACTTTCTTGTTTTGTCTGTTTCAATGGATAGATGAATCTCTCATTTAAGGGAGGAAGGGGAAAAAACTATTTTTCTTCCAGTCCGGTGTACAAACAAGTCAGTGAAATAAGTCATGTGTTGTTAAGAATCCTCTGTAGACCTTGTTTTCCATTTTGAGCCTTTTAAAACCTAACCTGCAGAGTGCGGAGCATAATTAACACTTAGAATAGTCGGGATTTGCAGGACAGTATAAATTAGGCCTATTTGAAGTAGCTTTGTTAATCCTGTTTTCAAGAACCACCTATGCTGTCCCTAGAAATCTTAAACAAATTATATTGTGGTGGAGAGTTTGTGGCTAAGAATATTTCTAATCAATAGAGGATATAGCCTGAGGTAAACTGAATTTAAATTACAAACTAAAGGTCTCATCCCATGAGGACATGGAGGACCCTCAATTCATTCTTAGTAAATGGTTATTGATACAGTGCACCTCCAAGCAGAAGAGTCCCTTGATGTTTTCTATGTTCTCTTGTCAAGTAAAAAAATGGTTCCAGATTTAAAAAATTTCTTGTATTTCCCTGTAGGGCTCTGTTCTTCCTTTCCTTCTCATCAAAAGTCTGCTGAATCTAATTAAGTAGTAGGATTAATGAAAATAAAAGCATTAGATTTTTTACTGGTTTATGTTAGTTCAAGATTTTAAGGGTTTTGCTTTCCGTTGATTTGAGACAAACTGAGAATACTACATACATTAAGGAAAGCATAACTTAAGGTTACCATTGTTCCTCAGCCAAGGCACAGTAGTTTCTCCTCTTCTGCCCTTTATCTCCTCCTTAGTGACAGTTGCCATGACATATGTAAAAGAGGGGGGAAAAAAGTGAGATTGGTGCTCAGTCTGTCCTAGATCTCAAGCTGACCTTTGTATTGCCATGGCTCTTCTGTGACTGCTCGTTGGGCGCTAGTGGCACAGCAAATGCGAGGAAATGTGACTTAGTTCACTATCTCCCAACAGGATCACTTGGTCCTGAGTATGTGCCTCAGCTATTCTGTTGTCGAGTAAGTTTCTCTATCTGGTAAAAACTTTGAATTTTCACATCAGGAAACTGTAAGCCAAATAACTGTAACAACTCTACTGCTCTGAGATTCTTGAACACATCTAGGAAGAACTGAGAGGCCTCTTCAGAAGCAGTTGACAATGCCACGGTAGCAAAATCAGTAGAAGCAATTCTTGGCAGCCATTTGTTGCTTTTTTAGTTGTGCCAATACAGCAGGTTGTGGTATCACCCATTGAAAGGGATGGCATAATAAGCAAAAAACGTGGCAATACTGAAACCAAAGGGAGCTTCATAAGCCAATTTCACTGCCAAAGCTGACATCCAATAGCTCCAGCTTCGGACATGCTGTAGAATCCAACAGCAAAGTGCAGTGGGTAATTTCAGAGAATGTGCTTAGTAGCAGGAAAGTGAAAAAAATTGTACTGTTTCTTTGTCATTTTAGTGTGTAACTTGCCACACAAATATGTAGAAAACTTGGTTGTCATTTGAAGAATTAGAGACTAAGTTCAGTCACTGTTCTATGAATCTGAGGAATTTTTAACCAGAAGATAGATGCAAATGCTAGTGTAACTTGGGCTGTGCAGTTGAATCGACACCTCCATAACATGGCCTGTAGCTATGTTCTCTGAATGAAATGGGTTACACAGTAAACGCAACCTCTGAAACAGCGAATTTGTTAGTGAGATGCTATCTTGTAAGTCAGTAGCTCAACACCAGTTTTATTTTTAAATGCTATCATGATACCAGCAGCAAATTGGGGGCGGGGGGGGAGAAAGAAAAAAAAAAAACAAACAAGCTCCCCCTTTAGAAAAAAGATGGAAAGAGGCTGCCTGCTGCCTTGCCATGGATGGCTGATAGGTATCAGAATTTCTGCAGTGTAGGAAAATGTTTTGTTCACTGATTTTTAATAAATTAGTGTCCCATGGTTGGCTGGCTGTTTGTTACTAGGCAGAACTGCAGGGAAATAGCATTTCTTCTCTAGGCCAGCTTTCTGAATGGCTTCCACACACTGATACCTGGGATTTGTACCTCAGCACTCTGGGAGCTCAAGTGGTATTTATTCTCCTTCCCTGTCACCTGTGTTCAAAAAGCATGGGTGTCTGTCACCCCAAGCAAGCTTAAGGGAAGATGTAAATACCATAAGGCTAGTTACTGCCTAAGAAGTAAAGTTGTATTTCTGCTTCAGCAGCAGAAATTGAGGTAAAGCCTTAGAATTATTTCCAGCTTTGAAGCTGGATAAGGGAAGTCTTCCCACACTTGCTATTGCCTTTTCAGAATCTCAGATCTTTGTGCTTATTATGGCATCAGGATGGAAAACTCCAAAGAGAAAGATAACAAGCATCACCAATTACTCTTATCGGATAGTTCAAAATTGTGCTTCTAATGCAGGCTATTAATAACCTGCTTGATGTTGTTGTACTACATGAAACGATCATTTTAAGTCCAAAATGTGTTCTTGATTAGAGGTCATTGGTTTGATAAATATGCTGTGCCTTTCCACCACTGATTTGCGAAATTATTTTAGGTACATTTTGCACACTTCCGAATGATTTTAGGTAGGCAATAAAGAACCAGGATTCTCTCCTACCTTATCAATGCCATATGCTTTAACTAATGGATTTAGCTACATACATACTTATAGAAGAAAAATCAACATCAGTTTCCATTATGTCACATTTAGACTAAACACAATTGAGAGTAAAACATACTTTTCTAAAACCAGAATATGTTAAATAATTTGAAGGAGGCACACTCAATCCTTCAAATAATTGGGAGTATAATAAAGCCATTCTTTAAATAACCAAACATTAAAAATTAAAAACAAAGCCAGCACAAATAGCACCGGTTAAAATGAACAGTGAGTAATTTAAAACCTTAGCTCAGCATTACAGAGTTCTGGAAGATCTATTGTCCCCTGTCAGTGGCTGCCAAAGTAGATCCTATTCAGAGTGGAAGATCTTGAAAAAACATTGCTAATCCCATGGAAGAAACTGTGAGGTTGAAAAATCCAAAACACGAGGGCTTTTTAACTTCAAGGTTCAGCCTTTTATATTCAGCTTGTAAATCTTCCTAGGATAAGCCCAGATTCAGCTCTAGAAAGTAGAAATTTAAAATGACTGAAGACTCAATATTTGTGTGTTGATAACTTGAATACTTTGACATGAGCAAACAAAAATGGTCATAATCTTGTATTTAGCTTTGATGTCATTGTGTGTGTGTTTTCTGAAGAGCAGGTGGAATCTTATGGCTGGTTATGGCAAAGCACATAAGGCTTAAGCCAACATACTGTATCATTTTCTCACAGCAGCCTACGGAGGTACATGAATTTTACAGGGCCAACTAAATACGGCTTTTGGCACACGCAGATGGACTGCAGGCCAGCGGTGTCAGTGGATATGGTATTGGCCGTGTGAGATGGCTGTTAAAGTGAATCTTTGCAAACATGCCTATTTCTCCTTCCCCATCTGTCTAACCAGCCCCATATTGCTCATGCCGCAGGTTGTGAGCTGTGTAGCTCTGAAACTGTATATTTATTAGCGTCGGTCCTAGTGCCATGGTGTTCTCTTAAGGTTTTGTTAGAGCTGTATTTGCAGCTACATTCAGTGTCCAGTGCTGGAAAACTGGCTGTTCTAAAAGCAGCTGAAATAAGGTCTTGCTGGAGTTACAAAAATAGGAATCCTGTTTTGAATTGAATTGCAGAAGAATGAGAACGTGGTTTTCTCAAGTGGCGACTGATGGATAACCGCACTGCGATATTCCGGTTATGTTTTGTCTCTCTCTCGGATACAGAGCTTTATCTTTTTTTCTTCCTCTCCTTGCAGGGACTTAAAGCAGCCGACAATGACCCTACAGCCCCACCGTATGACTCCCTCTTAGTCTTTGACTATGAAGGAAGTGGCTCCACTGCTGGGTCCTTGAGCTCTCTTAACTCCTCAAGTAGTGGTGGTGAGCAAGACTATGACTACCTAAATGACTGGGGCCCACGTTTCAAGAAACTTGCTGATATGTACGGTGGAGGTGATGACTGAACTTCAAAGTGAACTTTGGTTTTGGACAAGTACAAACATTTCAACTGATATTCCCCAAAAGCATACAGAAGCTAGGCTTTAACTTTGTAGTCTACTAGCACAAGTGCTTGCTGAAGGCTTTGGCTTAGGCTGCAAACCAATTTGGGCTCCGTGGAATATCAGTGATCCAATGCTGTTTGGAAAAAAATATTGAGCTCAGTTACACTTGAATTTTACAGTACAGAAGCACTGGGATTTTATGTGCCTTTTTGTACCTTTTTCAGATCGGAATTAGTTTTATGTTTAAGGCTTTAATGGTACTGATTTATGAAATGATGCATTAAAGAGACAAAATATGTTGGGGTGGGGAGGAGTAAGGTGAAACACAATATGCTTCAACATGCTTTTGTTACATCGCATTGCTTTTATTAAAATAAGAGGATTAAAAATAAACAAAAAAAAAATCCTCATGGAACAATTTTATTATCTGGGAGAGAAGACCATGAGGTGGAACAGTGTACATTACTTCTAGTTTTAGATGTTAGGGGATTTTTTTCACTAAAATTCTAAAACTTATGCAGCTGGTTGCAAATAAAGGGAGTTTTCATATCACCAGTTTGTAGCAGAGTTGGTTTTGGTTTGGTTTTTTTTTTTTTTCCCTTATGCTAGAATGTTAGACACATTTTGGTCTTAATCCATGTACACTTTTTTTTTAATTTCTAGTATTTTTTTTCCCCACTTCACTGTAAAAAATGGTATGTGTACATAATGTTTTATTGGCATAGTCTGTGGAGAAGTGCAGAAACTTCAGAACACGTGTATGTATTATTTGGACTATGGATTCAGGTTTTTGCATGTTTATATCTTTCGTTATGGATAAAGTATTTACAAAACAGGTTGCAAACAAGTGACATTGATTCAATTGTTGAACTGTAGTTAGAGTACTCAATATTTTTTTTATTTTTATTTTTATTATTTTTTTTTTGTTTGGGGAGGGAGAAAAGTTCTTAGCACAAAAGTTTTACATAATTTGTACCAAAAAAAAAGGGGGGGAGGGGGGAGTTGGCCTGAAACTGGTGGCACGAGTAAATATACAGTATGTTTTGGGGGTGGGGAGGGAAGGGGGAAGGAGCTTTCAAACTGGAGACTTCTGAGAACAGCTTTGCCTCTGTATTGTGTACCAGAATATGAATGATACACCTCTGACCCCAACGTTCTGAATAAAATGCTAATTTTGGATCTGGTGCTTGGTTTGGCATTTTTTTCTCCTACCTGGGCAGCCCTGACTATAGTGAATAAAAAGTACGCAAAGCGCGTTTGAATTTCCTGAGAAGTTACGGGCGCTTCTTCATCGTTCCATGCTGCTGGACTGAAAGTCAGCTGCAAATAGAAGAAAGTTTGGCTCAAATTTGGAAGGCAAGTTCCTAGGTAAAAGCCAAGTGTTCTGTGCCGTTTCTGGGAATTCAGAATTTTCAGTTCCACATTGATGGCTAGCTCTTTGGTTTAATGTACGTTATCTAAATAACAGAGCTTGCATCGCTTTTGGCTCGTTTCTAGACTGCCCGTTTAATCATCGTGTGATTATGCTGCGGGTTGCATACATACAATAAATTGCAGGTTGTGGCAGTCATCTGCTGCCTGGACTTTCTTACGCTGAAGTAAAGACAGGCCCTTGTTAACATCAGTGCACATCAGATCGTGTCCTTCAAGGAGGTGCTCAGGGTCATGGAGCTTTATCAAAAAAGTCCCATTAGGAGATTAGTCATTACTAAACATGTTTCTAACCTGTTACAATGATTTATTTGCAAACAAAGCAAACATAGTAGGTACAGCAGCTCTGCCTTTTTCACTTGCAACAATCTGCTCAGGTTTAATGTCTACATTTAGACTTATTAAGGACCTAACTGTGAGCAGCATGAAGCTCGGACTCAGCAGAAACACCGCATTTCTGCAGTCTGTTGAGAGAATCGGAGCAGCGGGAGGGGATGGAGGTGCCAGGACTGGCGTAGCAGCCGTATGCACTGGGAAGGCTGGGTGGGCAGGGAACAGGTCTGCGGGTGATGCTCTTCAGCATAGTGCCACTTCAGTGCTTCCTCTGCGCTCTGACCGTAATTTACATAATTTGACGGTGACTTCCAGAGGTAAATCCCAAAATCTGAGTTGGGCAGCGTTAAAGGCTGCATGTGAAGTATCTCCTCTTCACTGCGCTTTTCATGGGGATGTCTCCTTCCTCTTGTTCCTGACGGAAGCAATCGGGATATAGCATTTCAGCGTCTGCATACCTGGCTGTTATTTATCTTGTGCGTTCGTAACTGTAGCTTGGTGCTGTAACAAAGCCTTGATTTTTCAGTAATGTGTCAAAATTATCAATGACCTTCTTCAAGGTATTTCTGTATTAATTAGCAGCGTGGGGAAAAAAGATGTAGAGGACATAAAGATGAAAATCTGCCTGTGTGTAGTTAGGTAAGGGAAACTTTTATAAAGGGCAGGATTTAAACTAAATGCATGTTAAATAAGCAAAAGGCTACTTGTAGCGCATTGATTTTCCATCTTCTGTAATTTATGCAAAAATATATTTTAAGCATAATAATTCTATTGCTGTTACTTGGAACCAACAAACTGGAAATGCTAGATGAATTTTATTTAATTGATACTGAGTGTTAAAAGATACAGAGGATGAAAGATTTGTGAAAGATTACCAGTTTTGGCTATAGCACATTTTTTTGTTAAAATGGAGCGGAGGTTGTCTTTTATGAGCATTCAGCTCTTTTGTGCAGCAATAGGAGCTTTGTCTTGGTCAGACAATCTTCCTGCTCTATCTACAGCTGCCTTGAAATAGTAGCAACAGTTCTCAAACCTAGTGTTAGGTCAGCATTTGGTCTACTGAACAGAACAAAGGGTAAATCGTTTTTATGCATCTCAAGTGCTTTTACAAGAAAAAAAAAGATGTTTGAACTGGTCCGCTTTCATGAAACTTCAGGCAGGTTCTTCTAGAAACGTGCCACCAGGTTTTGTACCCATGATAGACACTTAAATCCCTGTCAGAGGACTGCACTGAGAGGAAAAGGACGGCTGAACTTTAGACCCTGCAGTTGTCTTGGGAAATTCTGGCAGCCTGTTTTGGAAATGGGATTTGGCAGTGATATATATTATCTCTGCCTTCTAGATGCTGTATCCAAGGGAAGTTACTGGCAAGAAATAAGGCCTTAGAAATTTTCCTATCTCAGCCTTTCTACAATTTGTACTTTCTTTCAATGATAGTCCTTCATAGCCTATGTCCTTCTGAATGAACTTCAGGGGTGAAAAAGGTGGAGATGGGTGGTTTTGGGGAATAAACATCTTAAGTGGATACAGAAGGCCTTACATGTGGATGGATCTAGCTTCCTGTCTTTCCTCTCGGAATGCTCAGTATTGCTGAAGGATGTTAATACTCATCCCATAACAGTCTAAAACTTACTTATCCTGCTCCCTCCAAGTAGCTGAACCCCAAGTGACATCTGAGTTCTCATCTGGTGATTTTACTGGCGGTGATGTGTGCCGTTACAGATTGGCTATAAAGCTCACTGCGGTCCTTCTGAGTACAAAAAACTCATAAATCAGTTTGATAGGGCAGACAATGAGCACTGCCTTCTTCCCCTTACTCCAAGTTATTCTGTCTTGCTTGACTCTGCTTTATAAAATGTTTATAAATTCTTGTAAATTGTAAAGGGAAGATGTTTGTGTCTGTATTGCAGTGGTTTTAGACAGCCAATTATTTTCTTCTGGTACCAAAGTAGCAAAGTTGCTGTGATGCTAAAAGCCACATGAAGTCTGCTTCTTGGGAGTTCTCTTTTGATACGTAGTATTTTTTGGAACCCTGCTAAATTCCTTACCCTGAAGAACATTTGTATCTACTCTGCCATGGTCCTATGCACCTTAACACACAAGGGAAAATGTCTTCTGACAGGTGATGGACACACATCCCCAGAAGGGTCTCTCAAACCTGTATGCAGTTACTCGAGATGTCTCAGGTAAGCCGCTGCCAATTCTTACCTTAGGCAACTGCTCCCTCCTTCCTAAGGAGCCTTCCTTCTGGCAGGAGTAGCATGGGTTTGGCAGATTTACCCTTCTGGATCGGGAATGTGAAAGCAAAGTCCCTGCTTTTACCTCAGTCAATATTAATTCAAATAAAATGCAGAAAAGTCACTCAAATGCCTTAATACCTAATACACAATGGTATGCTTTATACACCATTTTCCTCGTTCAGCCAGAGATAATCTGGATTTGTATGATGTCCCTACTTTTTTCATTTCCTTTACATTTCTTTACATAAGCTTTACTTTTACTGTAGGCAAGGACCTTTCCTAGGAGTTTCTCTAAAACGTAGGATAGTTGCCCTTTATTTAATATACATCACAGGAATGATGAAAAATTATCCCCTTGGCAACAAAGCCCAGCTGGGAAATAGAAGAGGAGAAGAACGGCTAAAGAAAAAAGGCTAAGCGCTTCCCACAGGGACTCAAGGTGCCTTCCACCATTTTTTTGGGAAAGAGCATCCCATCTGTTAGGGACCCTCTGATCAATCCATGCAAGGCGCCCTCCAGCCAACGTGTTGCTTCTGTACTGGCCAAACAGCTTCTTTGGTGTAACGGAGAACTTGGAGATGCCCCTTCTCTGGAGCTCCTGGCATCATGCTGCTGCCTTTCCAGCTGGGATACCTTCCTCCACCAAGCTTTCCCAGTTTTCCCCCTCAATTTACAAATCAGGCTGTACATATTCTTCAGTTTACATCCTCAAAGAATCAAGGTCTTAGTCTTGTCTTGGTTTGGTTGTTTTGCTGTAGACTTGAGGATGTATTCTCGACATAGCAATAGCTGTGAAGACTTATCTTCCTTTTCAAAATTTAGTGTCCTGAACAGTATTTTTCACCCGCAACCTCTGTGGATTTCTGGAACATCTTAAAATGCACCGATTGCCAGTAATACAGTCGCTACTTATCATCGGATTTGATATTTGTATGCTCTCTTGATTTTTCTGTCACAGAAGGGCATTCACTAATGTGGTGACCATGTGAAGTTACAGCCCCGTAGAGCTCTTTGGAAAGGTTGCTCAGGGGGAGGCGGTGGACGTGTGCTCTCTGAACTGCTCTCCATGTAGCTCTGGCTGTAGGGATGCATGTACGCGTGCGTAATGAACCGTTGGCACTCAGAAGGTTCAAGTGCAGTCGCAGAGCCTTTACCCCTCTTCCCTGAGCACACAAAAGCCACCCACATACCACCTTTGGAATCCAAAACCTGGAGCTCAAAGGCACCCACACCTCATCTCATCTCATCTCACTCCTCCCCACCGCTCCCTTAGCACCTTTGCAATCAGCCACTACCTGGACAAGATGGTCATTATTTTCTCATTGCTTCTGTCTGTCTTCTCCTCCCCACATCTTGTGAGAGACTAATTTTTAGAAAGTATTTAGGACCATTTGTCTCTTACTAACAAAGGGAATGCTCTCTGGTTTATGAATTAGTTTTGTTGCTTGCTGCATTTCCCACCTAGTATATATTTTTTTAAACCCTTTTGGTTTGCATTAATGAATTCTACTTTCCTGGTTCTCTTGGCAAGCCTGAGAGAATGTTTCTGGTTTCCCCTTCCCATTTTCAATTTCTGTAACCAGCTCTTTTGCTGTTGTGTTCAGACCTTGGATCAATCTCCTGTAACTGAACTAATGCTCAACCCCTTCTTCCTTGAAGTGGCTGATTTTTTTTTTCCTTCTAATGGAGAACATTCTTGTTGACATCATATTTTCCTGTGTGACACCCAGAAAAAAAATAAGATTTCGCATCATCCACAATGGTTTATATTTATTACTGTTTCTTAAAATATGTTTCTTTTGAGAGACTTCTTTTTTTAACACTAATGCATTTGTAAACCTCATGGTGGTACGCATTTATGTAGTTTTGTGAAACCACCTTTAGTTGGTTCACCCACTCCCAAAAAGCCTAAATACTGGTTCTGAAAGCAAAATATTTTGCTCTGGGTATGAATAATGAATAGTAGCATTGTACAAATTACTTTTATACTCCTGCTTCTGAAGATAAAATTTGTTGATACGGTATGGGAATATATAGACAGACAGATCTGTGAGCCCACCCGTTCTGTGTTCTGTGTTACAGAAGTTTGATTATTACATTTGTTATCTGCAGTACTGCAGGGCGAGCTTGTAAAAACCCAGCTGTCTCTGTGCTCCATAAATCAAAAGTAATGGC